CCACCGACGTACGGTGCGGCGTGGCAGCTCGAGTGCGGCCGCAACGCGCTCACCAAGCTCGGTAGACCTCTATGGCCCACCGATAGCTCGTTTCTCACAAACCAACTAGCCAAGGAGCACGAGATCATGGGTGCTCTGCACAAGTTTCTCATCCTCCACGGTGACAGCGGTGCCATCACGCGCCAGGAAGCGGTGAGTATGATCCCGACGCTGCTGCTCGATGTCCATCCGGAACACCGCGTTCTCGACATGTACGGTCGACGGTGATAGTATGCACAATGGACAATGAATGTCCACATTAGGTGCGCGGCGCCTGGCTCCAAGACGTCGCAGATCCTCGAGACGCTCTTGCAGGACCCGGCGCAGACCGGCTTTGTCGTGGCCAACGACGCCAACGAGAAGCGCGCGTACATGCTCGTGCACCAGATGATGCGCATTGGCCTCATGTCGGCCGTCATCTCGTGCCACCAAGGCCAGGCCTTTCCCGGCCTGTACAACGCATCCGGTACTTGATGGCTGCATTTTACGCATTTTACGCGATTTAGTATCGCAAAAGAAACGGATATGAATCAGGATGCTAGGCGAGCTCGAACGCACCAATGTCTTTGACCGCGTCCTTGCCGACGTGCCATGTACCGGCGACGGCACGCTGCGCAAGAACGAAAACATTTGGCGGCGCTGGCACGTCGGTGACGCGCTCACATTGCACCCAATCCAGCTTGAGATTGCTCTGCGCGCCGCCGCGCTCCTCAAGGTCGGCGGGCGCATGGTCTATTCCACGTGTTCGTTCAACCCGATTGAAAACGAAGCGGTAGGAACTTTTGTCGTTGACGACAATATGTACCATCGATGGTTGCGATTAGATTGTCGCCGAGCTCCTTCGACGCGCCGACGGTGCGCTCACGCTGGTCGACTGCTCGGCGGAGCTCGTGGGCTTGAAGCGCCGCAGCGGCTTGACCAAGTGGGACGTTGCGTGGCAGTCCAAGTCCAAGCACAAGCGCCAGGCCGACCGGCTCGCAAACGCGCCGCTCGAGTGGTTTTCCAGCTTCTTCGACGAGGCGATTCCCGAAGACCTTCGCGGCTACCGCATCACGCGATCGCTCTTCCCGCCGGCCGAGACGTACCCGCTCGAGCGCTGCATGCGCTTTCTGCCGCATGATCAAAACACGGGCGGCTTCTTCGTCGCCGTGCTCATGAAGACGGCGGACCTCCCGGGTGCCAACCAAGAAGGTTTGGACGCGTTCGAAGTCTCGTACGAACGCGGCCCGAAATGCCACCGCTACGTGTGCAAGCTCTGCGGCGAGCGTGGCCACTACATTCAAAACTGCCCGCTTTCCGACAAGCGCCAAGCGGCCGCTGAGGCGAAAGCGGCGCCCGTCGAAGTCGAGACGTTTGGGGATTTCTTCGTCCCGTTGCCCGACGACGCGTGGACGTCGATCCAGGAAACGTATGGTCTCGGCCCTGGCTTTGACAAGGTGCGACTGCGGTCTTTTATGGGAATATCGAGGCCATTGCATTGTATAGGAGCGACTTTTCGCGCGTTCCAAGGGCGCGGCGACACTGTCGTATGTAAGCCCGACCGTGCAAGCGGCTTGCTTGGCGGGTCCGGGCTTGAACGTACGACTGGATTTTTTCTGATTTTTATCGCTGAACTATGTTTCGTAGCTCGTCAACACGGGTGTCCGCGTCTTTGTCAAAATTACGACGGGGGCGCACAAGGGATTCCGCCCGGCGCAGGTATACAGTCGTGGCTACGACTGAAGAGCGGAATGCATTTGGTGACTAGGACGGACTGGACTTGGTCGTGCCGCACATGACGAAGCGCAAGCTCACGGTCGGCTGGTCGGCCTTCAACACACTCGTGGGCGTGAGCAGCACCAAGCTCTTTTCGGAGCTGGACCCGTCGCTCGCTGCGTCGCTCCAAGCCTTTGGCGTCGGTCCCATTGTCGTCCAACTGCAAGCCCACGACGCGAGTAGCAACGTTGTCGCACTGAGCCTCTGGGTTGGCAGCGCCAGCGTCTCCAAGAGCGTGACGTCGTCCGACTTGGACATTCTCGCAGACCTCCTCGCGACCCTGGACGTCACCCACTATGCGCCATAAATACAGAGTCGTACAGACGGCGCCATGTGGACGTTTCTCGTCCATATTAACCAATTCTATAGAGTATGAGCGTCTCTCGACATGCTTCCATTGATGGCGCATCATAGAGCGAAGGGTATTAACATGACGTACCCGAGTGAAACCCGCGTACTATACCCGGTGGCTCCATGGTAGCTGCACACTACCGACAGCCGCAAAGTGTACCGTACCCAATCAGGTGACAGAACCCGGCAAATAGAATTGCGATCTATCAACTTGAAGGATTCGGGACAGGACACAGATCCCGTGGGTGTTCCAAACCGGAAGCTCTGCGTTTACAACTCCACAAAACATAACAATGTGATATTTGGCCTTCTCTAGTCTCGGTATACACTGTACTCTGCAGCGTGTATCTCGCGTGTACGCACCATTTCCAGCGACCCATGCTTGTGGTCGGTGCACCAGTACGGGCTTTAATTTGTTAACGCCAGTGAAGTAACCTGATACTTTCCATCTGATATCACCTGATTGGCTAATTTCCAAATGATAATTTGATAATGTGATAATTAGGCAGTTTGCCACCTGCTTTGGAGGGAGCGGTGGCCTTCAAAGTCGACGTCAGCTTTGCCCATTCTTTTATTTGCTCGACATCCAACAGAGTAACCCGCCGGCAAGAAGGATAGCTGCCATGCCCGAGAAGGAAAAGCTCAAGTGGACCCGGGAAGAGGTCCGTTCTGTCGCGTACAGGTGGTCCACCCTAAATATGGTTCTTGCAGGACGCAAAGCTTTCAGAGAGAGTCGCGAGAATGCGTGAAGAGTCAACTCCGGAAGGCAGCGACGCGTGCGATCGCCGAAGTTTAAAGACAGGGCTTATGCCATGGCGTGCGGTCGCCGAAGGCTTGGAGCTTCGTACTGCCGCGGGGGTCCGTCAGCGCTTCCTCAGCCTGGAACCACCCCGCACAGGCAGCTGGAGCGAATGTGAAATTCGCTGGCTTCGCTATGCCATCTTCGTCGCGGGCGGTCTGTACCGCAAGTGGATCCTTGTCGCCCGCATCGTCGGCACTCGCAAGTACGTACTACTGCATACAACATCACGATGGCCGAAAAAGACTCATAGCTTGCGATGATATTGTAGTTACAGACAGGCGACCAGCAAGTGGGCCGACATGAAGGCGAAGGGGACTGCTGCTGTGCTGACGTCGATGCCGGCCAAGCCGACCGAAGAGCAGACAAAGGCCATCGAGGAACTGCTTTCGAAGACGAATTCAGCAGTCGGCATGCTGGCGTCGTCCGATGTGTACGCGACGTACACAAGCTCGTCGCCGGACGATGACAGCGAAGAGCCGGCCAGCGACCGTTCGGAGCCCGAGCTACCTCTTCTCAACTTGGACACTCTCTTCGACGGCACTGGCAGTATCTCGATGCACGACGCCATGAGCCGAGAGCCGCACGCGCCCGAGGTCGAGTGTAGCGAGACTACGATGCTTCTCTCCGCCGCCATCCAAGATTTGCTGGACAATCGTGACTTATGGCGCTGGATGCAAGCTCAAGCGGCGTCGATTCAAGTTTGAGGCGCATGGCTGTGCATTTATTGTTCCTGTATAAAACAAATGTATGAATGTACATAATTGTTCGTGACGAATGGTGCATGCATGCCATTAGCACCTTGTACCGGTAGCCTGGCTGTCGCATCCTCTAGCACGAGGTCTCGAGCTCGCAAGATGAGAGATATGCACGAGACGTCCTCGACCACGTCATGCAGTGCTTGGCCTCGACCAAGGTTGTTCACGTGTTGCTCGAGACGCTCTAACGTGATGCGCTCGGACGCTATTATTGATGGAGCCTCACTGGTTTTGCCGACGAGCAGCACAGTCGGCGTCGATAGCACTGTTGGCCACTACAGCACGACTGCGCTCGCGGCGCTATCAACCTGTCGCTCGATGGTACTTCATTTCTTGCAGGTTCAACGTGTTGCTACAAGACACCAGCAGCGAGAGCTAGCAGTGAGCTCAACATGGTTCCCTGCGCTGGAATGACAGCGGTTGCCGCCAAGTGGCACCCCAACCACTTGCTATTATAGCCAATCGCGAGGCATGACTATGTGTACATCGAGAGACGATGCGTCGGCACGTCGCCTGGCAAAAGCCTGCGAAAAGAAAGTCATTCAACAAATGTACCCAATTTTCAACGATGTGTCGTCACGTCAAAATTCGAAATGTACGCAGTTTCGAAATGTGCGCAGTTTCGCTGCATACAAATGGTATGTACATAGTGTCGAGCTATAGATCGAGTCTTCGATATCAAAGGGAGAGTGATCTGGTCCACGAGGTGTAGGACCGGAGTTGCTAAACTGTTGGAGCCTGGTTCGAGGCAAGGAAAGGCTGCTTGGTCATCACCAGGGGCCGCTGCTTTTCGACGGAATCCATCTACTTCTAACGCTCCTTTCCAATCCACGGGAGGTCATTGTCTTTTATCGCAAAAAGCAGGCTGATCCCGTCTCATCTAGCCGGAATTCCAGAATTGGCGGAATACAGAGTAATGACACTATGTGTGCAAAGGTGGTGATGGCGGCACCAATGACATTGAACGCCTTGTATTCTTCCACCGTACCTTTTGACGATTGTACGGTCATTTTTGCTCTCGAAACCCTCGAAACGTGATGCGTAATTCCTAACGACGATGTCTCGCATGCACCGCTGCTAAGTAGATGAAAGTAGATGGGGGGGTACGGAGGACTCTGTATCATGAACAAGATGTGCGACGGATCGAGTCCAAGACGTCTGATGGTGGGATCTGTACGAAGAGCTGTGTGGGACTAGGTAGCTGTACAGTTGGCGCGTGGAATCGAGGCATTTAGGCCACCACGAGTGTCCGGTTAGTGTCGGCACCTAAACGGAACGTGCTCAAAATCGTCCAATCAAGGGCGTGTGGTGTGTGGAGCTCCAATGCACTTGGTCCTTCGCGGGTGGGCGGCGGATGCGAGGTTGACACGACACGTAAGCTCAAGACAATGCATTGTAGACTGTTATGCAAAGAGAAGACCTGGGCGACTCGTTGTTGGGTGTCACCAGGGAGCTTGCCAGCAGCCGAGCGGGAGCGATGGGGGATGCCGTGAACTTGAGCTTGGAGTTGATACTTGGTTCATATGAACTGCGTATCCAATGTGGGTAACCGGACACGCTCCACAGGCGAAGTTTTTCGCTTTGATTGCACGCAGCAGGTTGATCGACACCTCCGCTAGAAGCTGAGTACATCCCAAGCTTGGCGCATACAACTCATAAGAACTGCTCTATTGTACCGCGTTGTGTTGGTGTGCCTCTGTGAGACGAATGCGACCTCTGCAGAGCGCACCGGATACATTTGCAGTCGTGGCATGCAAGTCATGGTTAAGGCTGCAAATCAAGCGACGTAGCATCGTTCTCACGTCATCGAGCGTGCTCCTAGTGGTGTCCGTGGTCTCGAGTGCAAGTATGGTTGCACCATCCATTGTGTGGGATTCAAAACGACGAGGCTTTTCTACGCTGTCGTGTAAAATCGTAGGTCCGACACCCGTCATCATATACAGAGACGCGACGTCGTATTTTAAGGAGTACGAACCAGGCTTCATACGCAATGACTTGTGCATGCGCTGAAGTAGGTGCCCGCTCTCTCCATACTCGTCGTGGGATGCGCCCAAGCCGCTGGATCATGCCGACGACGAGTGCCAGCAAGGGCAGCTGCAAGGCAGCCCTCGGTCGCGACGTGGTTCCCGGACGCCTTTGTCAACAGCGGCAAGTTCGTTGACCACGGCGCTAGCTCATATGAAGGGCATCGATCGTTACGACGGTCGCGGCCAAGTCTAACCTCGTCGACGCCATCTTTGATGCTGGCAACCTCTAACTCTAGTGGTATGATTGTAACTTCGTCGTTAGCCGTTATCAGGTAGCATGGAGCCTTATTGAATGCGTGGACTGTGTCTCGCAATTATTGAAGCTGCGGACGCCTCGAATCGAAGCGCCCAGTCACCCCGCGTCCACTCCGAGGGATCTTCAACAAGAATGTTGGTCGTAGAAAGTGCGTCGCTGGAATGACTGTCGGCGTCATTCAATGCAATGTCACGTGCGTTTATATTGCGAAATGTATGAAAACGTGATATATGCGCCATAAAATACACGCGGGCCGACCAAAACGGCAAAGTCCAATTCGCAGCATGGCCCGCGCGTCGTTTGCCACGCAGACGCGGGTCCTCCTCTGGAAGAACGCGACGCTCAAGCGCCGCAACCTGCGCAGCCTCCTCGTCGAGCTCCTTCTGCCCGTGCTCCTGCTCTGGCTCCTGCGCTGGCTCGCGACGCTGGGCAGCGCGGCCGCTGGCGTGACCCATGTGCCCGAGGCCCGCAACGCCGACGAGGCGCAGCCGCTCCCGACGCTGACGTTGCTGCCGACGCTGCTGGCACGCTCCAACCGGGTGCTTGGCGTCACGTCGCCGCGAGCGACCGAGCTCATCGCGTTTCTGGACGCACGCTACGCGACGCCGCAGGGCCCGCGCTTTCACGACGTCACGACGGTCTTTGCGTCCGAGCGCGACATGACCGAGTACGCCAAGGCGTCCATGACGTCCAACACGTCGCGGCTGCTCTACGCGGGCGTCGTCCTCGATGGCAACGTGGCGACGATCCGTCTCAGCGACCAAGCCACCGAGTCGAACGGCGCCGCGCCGGCCGATGGCGTCCAGCCCGCATCCGACTTTGGCATCCTCGCGCAGCTCACGCTCAACAAGACAACCAGCATGCGGTACCCGGGCTTTCTGCCGCTGCAGATCGCACTGCACGAGTTTGCTGCCGGTGTGACATCGCCGGTCGGGTGCGACGGCCTCGCGCAGGACCTTGATATCTTTCAATTGCACTGGACCGACGTCGGTCTCGTAAACGCCGGGAGCTGTGCGTCCTCGACACTTGCCGCCTCGGGCTGGCTGTTTTCGCAGCCCGGTCGCGCCGTGCCCTTTCCAGAGGCCGCGCACGTCGAGGTCCAAGACCCGGTCACGCCGCAGATCCTCATGTACCTGATCTACCTCGGTCTCTGGCCTTTCTCGCGCTTCGTGCGTGACACCATCAACGAGAAGGAGACAAAGATGAAGGAGTACCTCTTCATCCTCGGCGTGCGCGAGTCGGCGCTCGTCTGCAGCTGGGTCGGCGTGTACACTTTGTATGCGCTCGTGACGGCGACCGCGGCGACCTTGCTCTTCTCCAACGTGCTTTTTGCGACCGGTGCGCTCGTCTTTGGCTTGATTTTTCTCACGTTTCTGCTCTCGGCCGTCTGCTTTGGCTTGATCGTTGTGCCGTTCTTTGACCGGGCCAAGACCGCGATCGGGATCGCGCCGCTGCTCTTCCTCCTCTGGTGCAGCCCGCTGATTGCCCAGCGCACGGGCCTCACAAGCGACATCTGGGCTCTTCTTGGACCACTCACGTCCCCGCTTGTGTTTTACAATGCGATGACGGCGACGCTCGGCCTCGGCGCCGACGGCAACCTCCGCGACGTGTCTTTCTCGCACCTCGCGCTGCCGTGGCTGACCCTGCTCGGACACGCGGTGTGCTACGCGGTCCTTGGCGCGTATCTGGACCGCGTCTTGCCCAAGTCGATGGGTGTCCAGTCGCCGTGGCATTTCCCCTTCCATGCGGCGTTTTGGGCGCCGTCGACCTGTCCGTCCCGGTCGACCAAGACGAGTTACCATACGTTTACGCCCGTGATCGAGACGGCGGTGGATGACGCGCCGGTCGTCGACCTTGACAACGTCACCAAGGTCTATCCCGATGGCAAGGTCGCCGTGCGCAATGTCTCACTCTCGATTCCCGAAGGAGAGATTTTCGGCCTCCTTGGCGCCAACGGTGCGGGCAAGACCACGACGCTCTCGATGCTCTCGGGTGTCCTCGCACCAACGGACGGCGCACTGCGTGTCTGTGGCGACCATGACATGACGCGCATCCGTCAGCACCTCGGCGTGTGTTTTCAGCAAGACGTGCTCTACGACGCGTTGACGATCGAGGAGCATGTGGTCTTGCTCGAGCAGCTCAAGGGCCAGGCCGACCTGCGCTTGATCCGCGCCGAGTGCGCCGCGAAATGCATCGCCTTTGGCCTTGGCGACAAGATTCACGCACCGACGGCAACGCTCTCGGGCGGTAGCAAGCGCAAGGTGTGTGTGCTACTGGCGCTCCTCGGCGACGCCAAGCTCGTGCTTCTCGACGAACCGACCTCGGGCATCGATGTCGACTCGCAAAAGCACGTCTGGGCGGCGATCCAAGGCGCGTTGGCGGGCCGCGCCGTGCTCCTCACCACCCACGCGATGCACGAAGCCCAAGTCCTTAGCCACCGCATTGGTATCATGGCCAACGGCGAGCTCCACTGCGTTGGCACCAGCGGTGCCCTCAAGGACAAGTACGGCGTCGGCTACAAGCTGCACGTTGTCAAGGCGGCTTCCGACGCCAGCGACAAGGTGCGTCGCGCCTTGGCATCCGTGCCGGGTGCTAGCGTCCTCCGCGACCACAAGTGGGGTCTCGACTGCCAACTGCCGCTCGGCACCGAAGCGTGCATTCCCGGCCTGCTCCGAGCGTTCGATGCGCTCCAAGCCAATGGCGTCCTCGAGACCTACGACGTATCGACGACGACGCTCGAAGATGTGTTTGTCAAGATTGCCGCCGGCGATACCGTCATCCATTCTGCCGGGACGCCCAAGGCCATGGACGAGCCGATCGGGATGGCGCGGCCGGAGGCGCACAAGTACGCGACGTGGCGCGTGTGCTTGACGCAGATACGTGCGTTGATGCGCAAGCGGGCGGCCCTCGTCCGCCGGGACGTCCGCAACACGTCGAGCCAGTACCTCTGGCCGCTGCTCGTCTTTGGTGGGCTTTCGTACCTCCTCGTGCAAGCCGGCAAGTCGAGTGACGATGCCGTGCCAGCCCTCGCCTCGCCAATGGTCCTAGCGTCGACGAAGTTGCTGCCGTCGCTGCCGACACCGTCGCTGCTTGGGTCGAACGTGACCTTGGACGGCGTCGTCGACTACCTCCTCGCGCATCCGGGTGGTTCTGGCGCGGTGTATGTCGGTGCGAGTTCGCACGCAATCTTCTTCAACGCGTCAGTTCCCGGTGCCCTCGCGGCGACCATCCACTCTCTCTACACGGCGGCGTGCACGTCACCATCGTGTGCGCTCGAGGTGCACTCACGTCCGCTCGAGATGAAGTCGTTTGCGGGGCGGAGGCCTTCGCCCTCAGTGACGTGCTTGGCGTCGTCCTTGCCATGTACCTCATTGGCGCGCTCGTGTTTGCCTCGACGCCGCTCACCACGGGCATCGTCAAGGAGCGAGAGAGCGGGCTGAAGCAGTACCAGCACTTTTGCGGCGCGTGGCTTTCGGCGTACTGGGCCGCGCACCTCCTCTTTGACCTTGTGGTTTTTTCCGCCTTCAGCCTCATACTCGTGCTCTGGTGCGTGTACCTTGCCTCGACGGCGCTCGTACCGATCCCGAACCTCGCCGCGTTGGCCCTCTGCGTGCTTGTCGCCAGTGTCGCGATCGTCCCGTACATGTACTTGCTCAGCTTCCTCTTTGGCTCGTCGACGTCGGCGCACACGTTTGTCTCGTACGTGGGCACGTTCCAGCTGCTCTTTGCGCCCATGACGCTCCTCCTCTCGACGCTCAATGACGCGTGCACGACGTATGCGACGCTCTCGCCGTGGCTCCATGCCGCGTTTCCGCTCATCTCGCTCGGCGAGACGTTGGTCAACCTCGCGACGACCGAGCTTGCGTTCGTGCGGGGCATGTGCACGCAAGCCTCGGTGCTCGAGACGCCGTCGAGCCTCTTGCATGCGTATCTGTGGCAGACGCTGCTTGCAGGACCGGTATACGCGCTCTTGGTGCTTGGCATCGATGCGTTTTTAACGTACCCGGCGGCGATGCGCCACGCCCTGCGCTGCGCCCACCGCGAAACGCGTGGTACGTGGTTCGAGCCCGAGAGGCCGCCGTGTTTTTTCATTTAAACGTCGTACGATGTAGAGACGAACGATGTCGAGATGGGCACCGCTCCGATTGTGCAAGTGTCGGGCCTCGCCAAGACGTATTTTGCGTCGTTCTGGCGCCGCACGACGGCGCAGGATGTCCACGCGCTGTACCCACTGGACTTTACCGTCGCGCCCGGTGAGAGCGTCGCACTTCTCGGTGTCAACGGCTCGGGCAAGTCGACTACGTTCCAGATGCTGACGGCCGGCGTGACACCGACGGCCGGCGAAGCCACCGTCGGTCCGTGCAACGTCTCGACCGACGCCCCGCGCGCGCGCGACTGGATGGGCTACTGCCCGCAGCCCAACTGGCTCTTTGACAACCTCAGTGTCCGCGAACACCTCGAGCTCGTGTGTTCGCTGCGCCTCCAAGCACCACGTACGATCGAGACGGTGCTGACGGCGCTGCAGCTCGACCCGGTCGCGGCCCTTCGCACGGCCAAGCTGAGTGGCGGCAACAAGCGCCGGGTCATGATTGCGATGGCGGTCGTCGCCAAGCCGCCGGTGCTGCTCTTGGACGAGCCCTCGGCCGGCGTCGACGTGGTGGCCCGGCGGCTCCTCTGGCAGCTACTCCGCGACGAAGCCTGCCTCTTCACCACGCACTGCCTCGAAGAAGCCGAGGCTGTTTGCACGAGTGCCGTCGTCCTCGCCAAGGGCAAGCGTGTCTACCGTGGCTCGATCGCGGCGCTCAAGCAGCAAGTGTCGAAAGGCGTGACCATGCAAGTGACCTTTTGCGATCCGCTCGCGTCGCCTGACGTGCAAGCGGCGCTGCGTGCGGACGACGTGGCGTCGGCAAAGGCGCTGCTGCCGTCGACGCGCCACGTGGAAGGGGCGACGGTCGCCGACTATGTGTTTGCGTGGCGTCTCGAGAAAGACTGCGCGGCGTTGAGCGCACTGCTCACCGCACGCGTGGGCCCGACGCGCACTCTGGAGCAGTTTGGGACGCTCGTGACCTTGGAAGTCGACCGCCATTCGGCCTCGGACGTGACGCTCGCCGACTTGTTTGAGCTGCTCGAAGGCACCAAGACCGAGCTCCGCATTGAGCGCTATAGCATTAGCGAACTCGCGCTGGACCAAGTGTTTCACCACTTGACTTAAGAACCCTCGTTTGTGTGTGGAGAATAGACAATATGACCAACACAACATTAGAGATCCATTGCTGGTGTTGCTGCTTGTTGGAATCGAAAGATGACTGCTCGTCTCGTCGAACGACCTCAGACAGGATCTTCATTACGACATGGATCGATAAGTAGGTAGGTAGATAGATAGATAGATAGATAGATAGATAGATAGATAGATAGATAGATAGATGGATTGATGGATATGACATTTATTCGCGCTGATCAACACACCAGTACTGGCTGTAAGCTCAGCTAAGTGGTTCCATGATCGGACTCTCAGCGTTCAAAGGGCTCAAACCAATGCTGCCTTTGCAAGGAGCGAGATAGAGTGCGGCCCGCTTCCCGCGTAAGACTGCCTTCAGATGCGACTGCAACCATCAGGATACAGTGTACTGCGGTCAACTGCCAACGAAGTGGATCCGCTCATCGATCGTCCGTCATTGGCTCGAAAAAGTTGATGCGCTTGACGTCTCTCTGAGATTTGTTCTCGCTCGCCCAGCATTTCAATTCGCAGTCAAGAGCATTCAGAGCACGAGCGACGAGCCGGAAGAAGGCATGGGCGCGACGACGACTGCACCAACGGTGCTGCTCCAAGACGTCGCGCCCGCGGCCCACAACCCACCACCAACGATCAAGGTGAGCGAAGCAAATGTGGACGTGCCGATCGAAGGCGCCTCCTCCGTACAACGACCGCGCCCGCGGCAGCACGCGACGACGGCTCGACGCACCGATGCTTGGTCGCCCGACCACCGCCGCATCGACAAGGTGCGCTCGCAGCCGGCTGCGTTTCGTCCAACGAGACGCCAGGCACTCGCGTCCGGTGCAGCTCGACACCCGACCGCCGCCTTGAACCCCGTCGACGGCAGCGGCCATGCCACGGCGGGCTACGTCGCGTGCGTGTCGGTCAAGGCGCTCTCTCAAGGCGACCGGTCCGGTCACGCCGCCCAGCCTCTCGGCTCGTAGATCACGAAAAGAGGCTGCACGCGCGGCTCGCCACGCGTGCTTGACGACGGTCGAGACAAGAAGGTACATCGATGATTGCTCTCCTGTGATTCGCCTGACCTCCTTGCGATAGATGTCCAAGGAGGACGAAGACGTCGTGCTGACGCTCTTGACGAAGCTCACCAAGATGAAGATCTCGGTCGACACCCTCGACGTCTCGACGGCGCTCAAGGCCATGGTCGAAGTCTCTCTCCGCGACGTTGGCAGCCTTCTCCCCAAGGACACCCACGACGTCGACACGGCCAAGCTCCAAGAGTTCTTCCCGGACGGCCTCCACGGACGAGCTCGTCGTGCTGCCGTACAACGAGGCGCGCGCGCAAATGGTGCTGCCGATCGACCTCCCGACTCTTCCTCTTGGCCACTGCGCTGCGTTCGTCGGGCAAGGGAAGCTGGAGCTCGCTCCGGGTATCGACCCGACGCGGTTCATCGCGATTGGCGGCGTCCAACTCGACATCCTCCTTGCGGGGAAGCATCGCCTCAAGAAGTGGAAGCGCGACGTCCAGAAACTGCTCGAGGCCTCCGCAGCGATCCCGGTCGACCCGCCTCGCCTTGGCCAGCCGACAACGCCCCAGCGCATCGTTGGCAACCCGTACATCATGGCGTCTCCGTCACCCCGGCGCATTGGCGGGCGCCTCATGACGTCACCGTCTGCCCGAAGCTTGCCGTCGCGATCACCGCAACTGATCGAGTTCATTCTGCCGCCGTCGCCGGTGTCGTCGCCCGCCAACACGAAGGCCGGCGCGCGTCTCCAGGCGGTGGTGGAGCTCGACCCGATCGAGGCGATGAAGACGGCGTTCAACGACGCCAAGACGCCCAAGACGCTCAAGACGCAGAAATCGTCGACCCAGACACGCCATTTCTTCTTCCAAGTGCTTTTGTCCAAGGCGTTCAAGCTCTCGTCCAAGATGTCCACCAAGGAAACGTACAAGAAGCATTTTACCGCGCTTCTCGTCGCCGAAGCCCAAGCCGCGATCATCGCTGGGTACCATAATTAGCGTCTTTTAAGATTCTAATCTCACAACATTTGCAACCACATTACTCTCACCAGCTCTAGCGATATTGTTTACCTTGTACACATCCTTGCATACTAGTGAAACATCATTTCAAGCCTCCGCCGTCCGCACTAGCATGCGTCTGCTGGTACAGTCAAAGCCCCAGTCGATTCTCCTCTGCCAGGCTGCCACGTGCTGTGGGTGAACATCCGGATAAACGACGTGGTATCCGGGATTCCTACTTTGGGACGCTCAGGCAGCTTGCGTTTCTTCTGCCTGACCTCATGACGCCTCCTCGCCGACGGGCCGCGTCGCCGGTCACGCTCAAGCTCATCGTGATCCTCGGGCTTGGCATGGTCGTATGCATCATGCTCTTCCTCAACCTGTCCTTTGCCAGCATGGACAACAAGGCGGCGCCGGCGAGCGGCCAAGCGCTGCACCTCCGCGCGGCCGAACCGACGCCGCCGCCGCACCGCCGCATCATCGTGCTCATCGCCAACTACCGCGACTCGCGCCGGTGCGCCGAGACGCTCGAATCGCTCTTCACGCGCGCCGCCGTGCCCGAGCGCGTCACCGTGAGCCTCTTTGACCAACTATACTTGCACGAAGGCGAGGTGCGCTGCTTTGACGCGTACTGCGACAAGGTCGGCGACGCTGCGTGTCGTCGGTCCGAGCGGCTGCGGCGCAACGGGACCATCGACGCCGACCAAGCCACGGGCCCGACGCTGGGGCGGTACGAGTCGGAGAAGGGCGTCGACTTGGCCCAAGATGACTTTGTCTTGGCGATCGACTCGCACACGCTCTTCATCAAGCACTGGGACACGGACCTGCTCTCGCAATGGGATTCGATTGGCAACAAGCGCGCGATCATCACCGTGTACCCGGACGCAACGACCAACATGCCGCCGGACGGGCAATTCCGGAAACGCGTGACGCTCATGTGCCACGCCAAGATCGAGACCGAAGACAAGGACTCGATGATCCAGTACAGCGCGTCGATCACGGTGCCCGCGCCAGCCAAGCCGCGGCTCATGTCGCAATTTGCCGGCGGCTTCAACTTTGGCACGGCGCAGTCGGTGCTTGAAGTCCGCAACGACCCCCACACGCCGTACCTCTTCCACGGCGAAGAGTACTCGAAGGCCGCGCGCCTCTTTACACACGGCTACGACATGTACATTCCGGCCCGCGATATCGTCTTCCATTGGTACGAGCCGCGCAAGGTCATTTGGGAGAAGGACTGGGGCGCCCGCTGGATCATCCAGCAAGACTCCAAGCGCCGCATTCGCAAGGTGCTCGGCCTCTCGACGACGAAGGACGAGCACTTTAGCCAAGAGATCGAGCGCTTTAGCCTCGGCACGAAGCGGACGATGGAGCAATTCATTCAGTTTTCCAGCATCGATCCGTCGGCCGAGTACAAGAACGGCGACGACCTCCAGTTCGACAACTGCCACGAGCTCGAGTACGTGCCCTACGACGGCGACGAGGCCAACTTTGTGTAGTATCAACTTGATACATGTCTTACGTGTACTTGGAAGAGCGAGCTGCAAGCATAGGACGATGGCAGCCCAATCAAATATGAGGGGACGATGAAGCAGAGGCGGCGCCAACAAAAGAAATGACGGACGGCATGGGTCCGTTGGAAGCGGGTCGAGGGAGACAAAGCGGTCTAGCTCTGCACTGAGGACTCTGGACAAAGCTGCATAGACGTTGTTTCTCCATGGAGGCAATAGTGTCCGTGACAGGATTCTGCTGGCAGGCCCAAGGCAACAAAACAGTAGGCAGCTTTCGCGTGTCGATAGGACGTCGCGGAGCGCGGGTACGGGTACAATTTCGCACTTGCCCAGTCGGTCGACGGTTCGGTCATCTGGTGGGCTCTCGTATGGGTGGAGCAAGATCGAAGCTTGATTCCACCTCGAGCCCAGGTATTTTGACGACGACGACGACGAGGTTCGCCTACCGCCTCCTCAGATTCCGATCTCGCTGCCCATGGCAGGATAAAGCAGCTTCAGCACATCCGGCAACGTTGTCATCGAGCTAGCAACGACGTGGTCAATCAACACGCGGCGGTTCAAAATATCAAGTTGATAGTTCTCTAGGCGTCGCAAAACGTGTCCAGCATCGCACTCGCTTCGAGGCGCACGCCGCCATGGAGCGTGTAGCCGTAGCGCAGCATGTGGCCCCAGACGCTGCCATGATCGGCCGCGCAGAGCTGCTGGACGTACGCCATCAGGTCGACGGTCGGTGCGACCGACAGCTCGGACGAGACGCGCGCAAAGACGTCGACAAAGGCCGTCGGCAGCACGCGCGCACTCACAAGCGACTGGCTGTGGAGAAAGAGCACGTCCTCGCTGTGCTGCCCCCAGACAAGGCAGAGCGCACTGAGGAGCTGGCACAAACCGTCGCTTTCTACGGCCGCGACGCCGGTGCCGACGCCGATCCAGTGCAGCACATTATGCAGCCACCACCACTTGTCCATCGCGGCCACGATGCTCGCCGCGCTTGTCGCCGTGCGGCTGACAACAAGCTCGACGTCCATGCGCGCGTGGTGTCCCGCGGCCAGCCAGAGCACGATGGCTTGGAGGTCCTTCGAGCTGCAGCCACCGGCCTCGAACAGGTACGTCAAGGCGACGCAGCCCGCCAGCGCCAGCGGACCGGTCTTGGCTTCCGAGGCAGCGATGAGCGCCGTTTTGCCCTTCTTGGCATCGAGGGCCACCATGGCTTTGGCCAGCTCGCGCCACAATTCGATCGGCGGGCGCAGCGCCACGAGGCCCTTGAAGAGTGTGTCCGAGACCACGGTGGCGGCGATCGCACGCGCCGGCGTGGACGCCGAGCTGCACGCCGCGAGGGCCGAGACGAGCGCGGTGCCGTACTCGGGCGACTTCATGGCAGCAACAACGTGCGACAACATCGTGTCGAGCTGCGGCGGCGCAATGAGCTTGGCGAGAATCGGAATGTCGGCCATGTAGCGCAGCTGCACGGCCATCGGGAGCGGGCGAAAGCGCGGGAGCTCGGCGAGGTCCAAAAGAAAACTCAAAAGCGACGGATCTTGGCCGCAGTGCCCAATCGCAAAGGCGAGGCCCGCGACCGAGACATCCGATCCGAGGCGGGCGTTCCAGAAGCGCAAGAGCAGCGTCGCATATTGGAACGTCGGCACGTGGCACACTGAGAGCACGCGAAGGCTCGATGCGACCCAGTGGGCATCCGAGGTATTCGGGTGCTTGCACTGGCGAAGCTTGTCGAGGAGCTTGTACGTGGCTGTCGTCGTCGGCAGCTGCAAGCCCGCGTCCAGACCTACACAAGGTGTACACAAAGGTTCTTATAAGTATGCAGCAGCACCGACCGCGCGACTTGATTTGGAACGACTCGGACGCGGTCGAGAGCGCCGACAAGGCACCAAGGGCCCACGCTGCGTGCACGCGCACACGCTGCACGGGGCAGAGCGCGCAGAGCTGCTGCAGTGTCGACACGATCGCTTCGGCTTGCGTCTTGTCGACCAAAAGACCTAGGTCGTCCAAGTCGTAGATTGCAGGAATCCATTACGAATGCGGTACCTTTCCAGACCGTCGGCTTGCCATCGATCGCGAGGCCCGTGCCCAAGAGGTTGGCGAGGGCCAGCGTCGCATACGACCGCGCCGACGCATCAAACTCGCGGCCCGCGTCCGATGCGATCGCTTCGAGCTTGGCGTGGAGCCCACTTGGCACGTCCTGCGCGATGCTGTGGCCCAGCGCAGTCGTGCGGCAGAGCAAATAAGGCAGCGCGACGAGGGCTTGCGGCACCGCCTGGTCGACGGCCGCTTGGCATTTGGCCACAAAATCATCCACGTCAGTCCAGCCGAGGAGCTCGAACGTCACGCAATGCAAAAGAACCGGGGGCAATGCACTCCACGCATCGGCGACGCCGTGTTCAGCCAGTTGGAGCAGGACATGGTAGAGCCCAAGAAGCCACGTTGGCTCTTCGACGGCCATGCAGCCTTCGCTGGCCATGCTCAGCGCAAAGATGGCATGCGCCGCCGTTGCGTCACGCCGCACCGACGCGAGTGTCAACGACGCCGGGTGCGTCAGAACCGCCGCACGCACGTTGTCCATGTCGCTTTGGCGCTCGAGAGTCGTCGCCAACAACTGCTCCAAAAGCCAATGCCAGAGCGCTGTGATCGACGCCGATGCACCGTGCTGCATGATGGCGGGCAGAATGTGACCCAACGCAATGAGACACGTTGGCGCCAAGGCGGCTTCGGACATGGCAATGCCCCGGAGCTTCTCGACCACTTCGTCGACACGTGTCTCGTGCATGCTGAGCGCGCCTTGGAGCGCAACGCCGAGACCGAGGATTGCGGCACTCGGGCTCTCGATGTCGGCAACAATTGACGCGGCGGCGTGCGCCTGCATGGCTTTCGAGAGCGCTCGCAAAAGCACTTCGACGATGCGGCCGCCGAGGACGTGGAGCTCGGACGGCAAGAGACGCGCAAGGACACCGAGGGCGATCGCGACGTTGGGCGTGGTGCATACCAGTGGCTCCCAGCGCGACAAGAGATGCAGCGCGGCACGGCGGAGCGACTCGATCTCGCCGTCGTCCAAGCCACCGCGCAGCGCCTCGACGTCGCGAAGCAGCGCGACGTAATGGTGCAAGAACTTGTCCCAGCCATGCAGGTGCGCCAGCAGCAGCGGGACTTCCGACGTCGCTTTGGCTTCGTCTTCGAGCTGCGAGAGGAGGTTCGTCGCGTGCGACAATAGATTGTCGAGGTGCTTGAGATGTTTCTCTTTTCGTTTCCGAATCGCATCGTCGAGAGGGAGGGGGACGTAGCCAAACGAGGTGAGGACGGCGCCGCCGAGCGCCTGACGCAAGCCGAGCGGAATCGTCGCCTTGTACAACTCGACCAGCGCCGACGGCTTGGGCAGCACGTTGGCCATGGCGCGCGTCGCAGCGCCGGACGTGCGCTCGGCCACGAACCGCTTGCGCGGCTGCGTCGCTTCGTCCTTGCCCACGCGCTAGACCCAAGATCGTGAAAATATCGTACACGAGTAGACGACGCACCTGCAAGAGCGTCGTGATCATGGCCCGCGTCTCGTCGTCCGTCTCGGTCTCCATGGCCGTCAGCACGGTTTGCAGCTGTGCTTCGACCGCTTGCTCGTCGGCTTCGTCATCTCCGATTGTGTCGCTGCGCGCCTTGAGCCCGACGAGGTGCAGCGGGTACGCATGCAAGGATGTGTACGCGGCGAGGCGCACTTGGGCGTCTTCATGGGCCGTCGCGTCCCAGAGCGTCGTCAGAAAACTCGGGGTGTCGGTGAGGATCGAACCGCCGACCGCATACAAGTGGCAGAGCTCGACGTGGAAGAGCACATGGTCCTTGCAGACAATCTGTCCATACGCGTGAGCATGCGACACGCCATTTCGACGAACATGTACCTTTTCTTCTTGAGCTTGGACGCAAGGATCTTGCAGGCCGTGCTAAAGTCGAGGCAGTCGGCGACGCACAGCGACCGGACGCAAGCAAGCGCAACGGCCGCCAGCGACGGCAAATGGGACTCCAAGCGCGCTTGCACGGTCGCGATAAAGTTGAGGCCGAGGTCGCCACGGACGCCGCAGAGCTCGTAGATCGTGTAGAGCTGCACGAGCGGCCACTCGGCGTCCGTGTCGTCGTGGCTCTCACTCAAGAGCTGCTCCAGCCTACGCCACAAGAAGCGTTGACCGTCGCGATGATGCAAGAAAGCGCGCGTACCGCGAGTAAACGCGGGACTCGAGCGTCCAAATCTGGTACAGAACGCGGAGGGCTGTCGATGGATGCGTCGCGCTGAGCGCCTTGACCGTCCGCAGCAGCGTCTTCATGCACTCGGCATCACGGGCCGTGCTCACAAGCGTCGTAAGAATCGCTTGCGTGTCGCTGCCATTGGTCGCGCGCGAGAGCACGTAGACAAGGCTGGGCACGAGGAGCCGGCCAGCCATCGGCCATGCGGCCACGCAGGCGCGAGCGAGCGTAAGCGCGGGAAGAACCATCGCCGAGCGCGACTCAAACAAGAAGGTCGCGGCCGCCAAGACGACCGTCGGATCATAGTCTCGATCCGACGACGCATAAAGCGCATGGGCTGTCTGCGCCAGCCAGGCGCCGAGCGTCGGTGACGTGGCAAGCTCCTGGAGCAGCGACGCCACGGCGTACTGCGGGTGCAGGCGTGCCTCGTGGGACGAGGACGCACGCGGTGTCCACGGCAGCGACTGGACGGTCTGGAGAAGCGCCAAGACGGTCGAGGCTTCGGGCTGACGCGCCGACGTCATGAGCGCGAGCACGGGGGCGAAGAGGCTCTCGACGACCACGGACCGCGAGGGCGTGGACGCTAAAGCGGTCAGCCAGACGCGGAGAAGACGCAACACCGCCGTTTGCTCTGTTGGGTGCTCGAGCGTCGCGAGGAAAAAGGCCAGCAACACAAAGACTTCGCCGTCGATGGCAGCGACGACGCTGACGTCCGAGGCAGAGACAAGCGACTCGAGAAGCAAGAGCATGCCGAGGCCAGCACGCGTCGACGCTACAAGCGGCAAATGAGAGGCATCGCGTACGTCCCACCTACCCGACGTGACGTGCGGCAGTAGACGCACGAGCAGCGCAACCAGGCTCAGCGTCGGCGCCGGGTCGGTCAGCGACGGCGCGACGTCTGCGAGCCCGCGGAGAAGACCGAGTGCGACTGCGCAGTTCTCGGACGAGTCGAGCGGCAGGAGGCGCACGGCACGGACACCCGTCTGCACGATCCTCGACGCAGCGTCCATCGCTCCGGTCTCGAGAGCACGCCAGCTCAGTCGCACCCACGTGGCCGCGATGGCCTGCTTGACGACGAGCGCTACGGTACGCACATGAGATACGAGATGCCAGCGAGAAGGCCGCACATGTCGGGCCGGCGAGCGCCCGCTCGACGAGGTTCTGGAAGCACGCGACAAAGGGAGTTGGGTCCACGCTGCTGAACGCGTCTTCCATGAAGGCAGCGAGGCCGAGAAGCACCATGGGATGGCCTTGCGTCGTGCGGGCGAGCGCCTTGTGGACTGCCGACCGGTCGGTCACCGCGAGCGCGAGACCGCCCAGCGTGTAGCCAATGTACTCGGCCTTCTCTTCCGACAAGTCGGGAATCGCGCCGATGCGGCTCACGTTCTGCAGCAAGAGCAGCCGGGAAAAGGTCGTCGGCGACTCGGCCATCTCATCCACGCCTACATGTCGCTGTCGCAGCCTCGATGCATGGACATGGGATCGCCTACCGAGGAGGAGGTGCTGGCAGAGCGCCAGCGACTCGGTCTTGGTCACCATGTCGAGGACACGCAGCAGCGCGCGCTCGCCCGACGCGTCCTTGCGCGCGTCCGTCAGCACGTGCTTGGCTTCCTTCTCCATCGCAAATGCGCGCTGGCATCGGCATGTGCCGCCCCTACGGTGTCTATTTGCGGCATTTGTGCCATGTTTACCATCCGGATGCCGATTTTGCCAGCGAGAATGCCGATTTCGCCGGCTTGAATGCCGAATCCGCCGCCAGTGCAGTTTTCAGTGGCAATGGAGCTCGTGATCGGGTGCGTCGGCAAGCCCTCGGCGGGCAAGTCGACGTTCTTCAACGCGGTCACGGACGGGAAGGCCAAGGTCGGCAACTTTCCCTTCACGACCATCGAGCCCAACGAAGGGATCACGTACTACATGACCGAGTGCCCGTGCAAGGCGCGCGGCAAGACATCCTTGTGCGCGCCCAAGTATGGCCAATGCGTCGACGGCACGCGCCACATCCCCGTCAAGCTCCTCGACGTGGCCGGCCTGATTCCGGGTGCGTCTGAAGGCGCGGGCCTCGGCAACAAGTTTCTCGACGATCTCCGTCATGCGCACGTCCTCATGCACATTGTCGACGTGAGTGGCACGACCAACGAGAAGGGCGAGACAACGATCGGGTACAACCCGCTCCACGACGCCGACTGGCTCACGTCCGAGATTCACAACTGGATCTACAACAACCTCTGGAAGCGCTGGCCGTCGATCGCGCGGCGCCATGGCGCGACGCAGGCTGCTCTCCGGACGACGTTCCAGCAGCAGCTCTCGGGCTACGGCGCGTCGGCGTCGACGGTCGTCGCCGTTCTCAACGCGCTTGGTGAGATGGCCAAAGAGCCCTGCAACCTTACGGCGTGGGGCGAGCCCCAAGTGCACGCACTCGTGGACGCCTTTCTCGCGATTCGGTTCCCGACGATCCTCGTGCTCAACAAGGCCGATGTCGGCGCCGAGACGGACAAGAACATTGCCAATGTGGCAGAAAAGTACGGCAGTGACAAGTGCTTTGTCGCGAGCGCGGCCTCCGAGTGCTTCTTACGCAACCTCCATGCCAAGGGCATCATCAAGTACGAGGTTGGCGACATGTTCTTCTCGACGCACGACGACGACGCGAGCTTGAAAGTGCCCGAGCCCAAGATGGCCAAGCGCCTCGAGCATGTACTGGACATGGTGCTCTTCCGCCACGGCAGCACCGGCGTCCGTAATGCGATCAACGCCGCCGTCGACTTGGCCAACATGATCGTTGTCTACCCCGTCAAGTCGCTCAAGAACTTTACGACGACCGAGGGTGATGTGTTTGGCCACGCCGTGCTCGTCAAGAAGGGCGCGACCGTGCGCGAGATCGCCCATGTCGTGTCGGCGACCGTCGCCGCCAACTTTGCGTACGCCGAAGGCGAGGACGGGCGGCGGCTCCCCGAAGACGAGCCGATTACGTCGCCGACACTCATCATCAAGTTCACGACGCATGCCTCCAAGGAAGGCTCGGGACCGCCGCCACCGCCGACGGACGAGAAGAAGCCCAAGAAGGACAAGGCCAAGGGAGCGTCGACCGACACGGCGGCCGAGGCGTCGCTCGTATAAGCAACGACGTGTTGGTGCCCTACCCCTCGGGTTGTCGTACAAAATGGTAGTCAACTCGGATGGGCGTAGGAGGTGAAGAGAGACGGGGGCACGTGAGCCACTCCGAGTGGGCTAGAAGCAAGGCGAGTCGGCGGTGCCGAGCGTGGGCTCGCTGTCGCCATTGCGAGGCGGTCCGCGGCGGAGGACGATTTCGTGGTGCCCTGTTTTGTGTTTAAAACAGTATACATGAGATTTGTATGGTGAAAACAACACCTCGGCATGTTTCATTCCGTTGACTGTTGTTTTCAGGCTTGGACGACCGAGTATCAATGGAGGTAGACGGGTCAGCGGCTCGTGGATTCGGGCTTGAACGCGATGCTTGCTGTTAGAGAAGGACGCGCACCCCTTGGATCCTATCCACCCCGTTCGGTCGACGACGGGGGCCATTACGTCGTCTGTCCCAAGGCCCGCGCTACTGGAAACCACTTGAGGGGGACTATAAGTCTCCGATGCCACGCACGAGAGTGCGCAGTCAGCAACGCAAGCGACAAGGCGCGAGCGCCTTATAACGGCAGCGTGCCGCCCACATACATAGCTTGAAGTTGTCTGACGCCAAATCGCAAGAAATAGTGTACGTGCATCGTCGGTCGTCGGCGACCCACACGAGGGTGCCAACAAAGAGAGACCCGAACGATGCGCATACAAGATGCCACATACTGCATGAGCTGCCCCTCCTATGAATACACATGCATTCCATCCGCTCGACCGGCATGTCGCCCGTGCGCCGGCAACGCCGGCTGTTGCGTGGGCGTTTCGCATGAAATAGTGTACGCATCTCCGGGTTGTCTCCGGCTTTTGGCGGCGGCTTCGATTGGCCGTCAGCTTCTGTTGGTCCAAGCCCATTCGATCAGATCTTGAAGCGATGGATGCCACGCAGATGCTCGAAGTGAATTGCGGCTGGTCGAGCCGCGGGGCGTCGACCGTCGTGGGCGCGACCTACGTCCATGGCTCCTCCGGCCACCTCCTCGTGACGGCCTCGGACCAGGTCGTGCGCTGCAACACGGCCATGTACGCGTCTGGCGTCGCGCTGCAGGTGCAGAGCTGGGACTTCCGCCCGGACAGCGCGCAGGCCATCACCGTGCCGGCGGTCAAGCACGGCAAGAAGCCCATCTACTACGCGGTGCGCGGCAAGGCCAAGACGGAGCTCATCTCATGGGCGGCCGAGACGACCAAGCTCGACGCGAGCCTCCCATCGGTCGGCCTTCCGTCCGCGGTCCACCAGCTCTTTACGCACCCGCGCCTCGATGGCGTCGTCCTTGTGACGATTGCGGGCAGCATCCACCTCTACAACGGCGCGCTCACGACGCTCGTGGCCGCGCCGGCGAAAGCGAAGGGCAAGGCCAAGAAGCTCTCGACGGTTTTTGCCGCCGTCGACGCCGACGCTGCCGGCCAGCTCTACTTCGCGATCATGACCAAGGCCGACGCGTACAACGTGTCCATCTACACGTTCGACCCGACGACCAACAAGGCCGTGCTGCACCGCAAGGACACGATGGCATCGACCGACGACTTGACGTCGGGCGCATTCCATACGAAGGATGCGTCGCTCTCGCTCTTGTGGGCGTCCGGCCTCTGGCAAAGCGTCTCGGCCGACGGCGTCAAGGACCTCACGTCGCTCTCCATTGCAGCGAACGAGGGCAAGAAGCGCCGCAAGGTTGGCGCAGTCGCCTACCAGACGTGCGAAGCCGCGCCGCACACGGTTGCGATCGCGTCGTCGACCGACGTGCGTCTCTGGGACAGCAAGTACGGCGTGTGCCTCTCGACACACGCCCTCGCGCCCACCGCGCACGGCGACCTCCTCCGCGTGTTTGCGTTCCCCGTGCACAGCCTCGCGCTCGTCTACGAAAAGGCAGTTCTCTTCACGTCGCTCCACGCCCGTCCGTCGACGCTGGCGACCGTGCTCGGCAAGGGCATGGCGCCGCTCACGACGACCAACACGGTGCTCATCTCGACCATGGTCGACGAAAAGGACGTGCCCGTGGTCATTCCCGCGCTCGAAGTCGAGACGTGGCCCGCGCAAATGCTCATTGGCAACGATGCGCAGAAGGAGGTCCTCGAGCAGCTCACGAACCCGTCGCTCACGCCGACGCGCGAGGCGTTTGCCGCCGTCTTTGACAAGTACGTCTATAAGAACGGCAAGACCAACAAGATCCGCGGCGTGCTCTCGCCGCTATTTGTGACCCAAGTCGCGGCGCGCTGCGTGTCGTCGGCGTCGCTCGGGCTCTGGCGGGAGCTCCGCGTGCTCATCCGGTCGCGCCACCTCTGCAGCCGGACGCTGCCGTCGCTGATCCCGACCTTGCTCGCCCACAAGCAGTGGGGCCTCCTTGATACGAGTTTGCGCTTCCTCGCCGACATTGACGAAGCCACGAGCATCCGCATCGTCAAGTTTGTGCTGCGTCACGCCAACGCGGCCAGTGTCACGCGCTACGAGAAACTCACCAAGGACGCCAGCGTCACGACGCCGGCGCAGTTTGTCGACCACTTTCTCCATCTCGTGGTCGTCTTGCCGAAGACCGATGTGTTTCTGCAGAATGCGATGGCGACGTTGACGCTGCCGGACGTGCTCGCGCTCCTCGCCCTGCTGAAGAAGTGGTACGTGCGCAAGGACATTGACATGACGGCGGTCGTCGAGTGGATGAGCTTGCTCGTCGACGTGCACTTTACGCGCCTCGTGCTCGAGAGCGACACGCACGATCCGCCGCGTGGTCGGCGAGACGCAGGCCATGGTGGCCCAGCACCTCGACGCGTGCACGTTCATGGCCGATGTCCACGGCGAGCTCGACCAGCTGCTCTCAGGCGCGCTCCTTCCCCAGACGGGCACAGTCCCCGACTACTCGGTCGAGACGGTCCTGCTGTAGATAGTAAATTAAGAAACTCATACACACATACACTTGCTCCTGTTGGATTAGACGGCTTGCAAAAGGCAGCGTCGTGTCGGCTCTGGTTGCTTGGAGGTTGTTTCTCAGACGGTACGTCCATGACGATCGCAGGGTCTCTGTCGTGCAGTGGAGTCGAGTGCACGGGGTCTGCCACAACTACAGTTCTACGGCAGCATGAAGATCGTTTTTCTTTGTTGAGGGTGCAAGAATACCGATGGGACTCTGCAGCTCTGCGCCCGAGTCTCTTGACGCGCCTGGACGGACGCCCGACGCGCACGGTGGCGCCAGCACACAGCGACGGTGCATGGCGCGCTCCTCTGTGTTGTTTTGAATGTTTCCGACATGGTTCGTTACCGAACCAAGAGCACTGGGGCAACGACGTCGCAGGCAGGTAGCGGTCGCATGTAAAGCGCCCCGTCGTTGGCTCGCCGGTGCAGTACGGTCTGCTTGTGTCTGGTGTTTCCAAGGAATGCGAGTAGGCTACTGAGTACAAACGGGAAGGGGCTTGTCCGAGGTGCACCAGCATCGACAACTTTTGAACGTTAGGAGGAAGGACGTCGTTGTTGTTGAATTGGGTCCTCTATTACAATAGATAAAACTATGCTAAATAAAATTGTCGGACTTTCTTCGTTGTGTGTACTCGGTTGAGGGACTTGATTTAGGCAGGCGGAGGCAGGAGCGCAATCCGCGGGACGAGGTGACGTCGCGGCCACTCGTGTTGGGCGAGGAGCCGGAGGAGGAAGGACGTCGTCATGGAGGCCGAAACCTTGCATGTACTAGTAGATCCAAGACGGATACAACGCCATGGCTAACGCTCCTTCTCGCACTCGAGTCAGTGGGTTGAATCAATCAATCAAACGTGTTCGCGTTGAAATCAAATTAGCAAAAACTAACTCAAAGACTTCGCATACGTAGTGCTACGCCTGAATGCGTGGGAGTTGGCACCAGCACTTGGTCGTTGGGAGTGAGCTGCGCACGGAGAGATCCATCCCGTGGTGGACCCCACTCGCCGAGGGATAGCTCGCTCGAGGTCGCACGCAGGCTCCTGTACTCGGACCACCCGACAGAGGAGTGCAAGCCCAGCAAGTGGGTTGTTGCCTTTACTCGACTTGCTGTCGCCACCCGACCTCGCGCTGGGACGGCACGGCGGACTACTCTTTTGCTTTTTGGACTGCTATGCACTTGGCATGCGAACGTCAAAGATCGATAAACAGTGTATAGACCCTAGCTAGCATGTGCGTCATCACTACCGAGTCGACACACTTCACGTTCGCCATTCGTTCCAAGCGAATCAACGAGTCCGGCAGTTCAAAACGTGTATCAATCCGTCCTTGCAAGCACGAGGGTTCATGGATCGGTGCAAAAACCAAGCGCGTTTGGCTGCTAGCTTTTTGGTCGGTCGATGGGTGGTGACGCGCCGTTGGCTGCATTGAACACGCAGACTGGTAGTCGCTCCGACTGGTCAGCACCAGACTCGTGGTGGTAAGGACTGCTTCCATGAAGGTCATCTGATTCATCTTGTCGCATGACCGCCGCTGCAGGGCTACGACCCAAGTTGGGCACCTGGTGGGCTGGGTGGGACGGTGCTTCCAATGGCGTTCATCTAGATTCGCATCGCCCTATTCGAAGCGTGTGCTTGTGCGCGAGGCGGGAATCTTCTTGCCTGTTGTCATTTGTGTATGTGTGGTCATCGTGTGATTAGTCGGCGTGATCCGACCGTCTGAGTCGAGTACAACGTTCTCGACGGCCCGTCGATGCTACTTCCGAGGCTTCCTCGATGGACCTCGCTCGATGTTGCTGGTTACTGACCGCCGCTTGCATGCGGCAACGAACCCACAGCCTAGCGTTTTTGTCAAGCAGACTGCAGCGTCGGAGTTCGAGCCCAAGCCCAAGCTACCGCGAGACAGACCCGGCATCTGTGTCGCCCGTTGCTTCAATTCACAAGGCCGCGTCTGATTCCGGGACCCACCACAACAATCGGGTGTACCACACAGTATCAGATCGTGAATCGTTGATACTAGTTCTACCAAACCTACTTGGTGTAGATACTCTAGTAGGTGAAGCACAACTTGCCAAAGCCGCCAGGAGTTGTCGATCGAGATCTGAGATCCGACGCAGTATTGGGTAGCCGAGAATTTCTGGGCCAGAAGGGGATACTCAATGAATAGGCGTTCAGTTTACGCATCAGACAAACGACAGCAGTGTTGATGTGGTTGGGGTTTGAGAATCATACATCTGTTTTCCAAAGGTACTTTTGATAAACAGATGCTGAATCTTAACAACCAAATCAGACGTTGAGATTCGAGCGACAAATTGGCGTTTGGCGCGACGCGAGCTGTTGCGGCTTTTTTCATTTTTCAATTCGCCATGGTCCTTTCATCCTCGCTTCGCACGCTTCTTTTCTCGGGTCTGGCGCTCCAGTCCATCGTCGCCGCGCCCTCGGTCAGCCAAGTGCATCTCGGCATCTCGGGCGCCTGCATCGGCGGCATTTCGCTCTCGTTTGCGAGCTCCGAGTCCAAGCCCCTTACCGTCAAGGTAGGCGACCAGACGGTCAAGACCGTCGCGAGCACGTATAGCGTCGGGAGCTACACGTCACCGTATTTGCACACGGCAAGTTTTTGCAACCTCGCGTCTGGCAAGGCGTACACGTACTCGGTCGGGTCGTTCCAAGCGACGTTTACCGCGCCACTCAAGAGTGGCGAGGACAAGACGGCGACGGTTCTCGGCATTCTCGGGGACATGGACTACGCGGACGGGAGCACGCGCAGCTTCCTCACGCCGTACAATGGCCACGTGACGCAAGCGATCTTGGTGGCGGGCGACTGGTCGTACGCCAACGGGAAGCACCCCAAGTGGGACAAGTGGTTCGACTTGCAATCCAAGATTTTCTCGCAGCTGCCCGTCACGGGCATCAACGGCAACCACGAAACGACCCAGAGCGGCGAAGCGTACACGGCGTACCTCCGTCGCATGCCAGGACCTATCTCGGGTGACGCGATGGCCGCTCTGCGCACTTATTACTCGCTCGACATTGGTCTCGTCCATGCGATTTTCCTCGACGATTATGTCGGGTCGACGCACAAGACGGGCGGGACCAACTGGCGTCGCGAGCGCGACCTGCAGCTCGAGTGGCTCCAAAACGACTTGGGCCGTGTCGACCGGACCAAGACGCCTTATGTCATTGTCGTCAAGCACAACCCGTTCTACAACTCGTACGACGACCACCAGTGCATGTGTGGCTCGACACGGTTCGAGATTGACGATGTGGCGGCTTGCTGGGGCGGCAACTACAAGAGCGCCAAGTCGGAGCCCCACTGCGGCCTCCAAGCCAAGCTGGAAGACGTGTACGCCCAATACAAGGTCAACGTCGTCTTCGCGGGCCATGTCCATGGCTACGAGCGCACCAAGCCCGTTTTGAAAAACCAGGTCGACACGCAAAACGGCATTGTGTACGTGACGACGGGCGCGGGCGGGCGCGGCCATGCCGGCAGCCGCATCGATTCGATCCCCAACTGGTCGGCGTTTGCCGAGGGCGACGTCTACGGCGCGTCGCGCCTCATTGCGACGCGCGAGAAGATGCAAGTGCTGTGGTTCAGTGACGACGACACGACGACGCCGCTTGATTCGTTTGAGGTTTCGCCGTAAGATCCGAGTCACGATGCGCCGGGTGTGCCGATGCTTCGCTCTCCGTACGAAATCGAATGGGAAATGCGTGTTAATTTCATCATGTCTTCTGGTTGAATACTACTTGGATCCAAATCCCGTAATGTGATTCGCTCAACGGAGCCGGCGTTACGCTTTTGCCGGACCAATCGGATGCTGGCTGTATAATTCACGTGTTCGATATCGAGGGAATTGTATGCCGCAAGGATACTCTGTTTTAAACACATGGACATGGCGATCTTCACGCGGCAAGTCGGCAAGTACCGGCAACACGCGATGGTATCGATCAAGTCCTCGCAGCTGCTTCAATTCGCTCATACATGTCAACTTCAACTCTCACACTTGCGCAGGCTTGCTCAAGCCGACTGCTGCGCCGTTGGGAGACCTCTTAACGTCGGAGCTTCCACACGGCAACTTTCGTTGCGCTGGGATTTTATGGTGGCAGCAGCAACGCGCATCATGATGTTGTTATCGCTTCCATGCTCATCCTTCGAGAGGAACATGCGCTTCCCACTACATTTTGCTGACGTCCTGCCTGGGCTACACCCCATACTAGATCACCACGCTCAACGCCCCATGAACGGAAAGCACGCTTGGCCAATATGGCGCGGCAGTCCAACAAGCATTGGACAATCTCCTCGGTCCACTCCAGTTCTTGTTGAAGAGTCTTTTTAGATGTCATTTGCACTGAGCTGTTTTGGGAGGTGGTCTTTCGACTTGAAGCGTGTTGTGACTGACGACGGCCGCGAGGCTAGGGACAGTGCACGCCGGAACGAGGTGGTCGCGTAGCCAGGCGTCGTGGCGCAGGACGCTCATCATTTCCAAGAGGCACCGGTATCCATTGCGGTCTGTACGCGGTACCGTAGTGTCCTACGGACTGCATGAAGTCTTACTGACTGCATCAAGTCTTACGGCCCTTGCTCTATACGCTCGCGACGAGGCTTTTTCTACACTTGAAATGCTATTAGCCTCGTACCGGTATAGAAGCAATATAGGGTGTAGAAGCCCTTCAACGAGTGAGCACCAACGTCAATTGTTCGCACAAACGTAACAACCGTTTCCCGCAATTCGCTTAAAAAGTACGTGCTGCCTATCACCTTGATGTTGCACCTTTAAGTCCGTCAGAGTCCCGCTCAAGTACGCTTTTCCCGGTAGAAACACGATGGAATTCGATTAAGTGCGTCGACGAAAGGCGGCCGCTTGGAGGCAGTCGCCGGACGCCATGCACTCGCCACTCTTGACAGCGAATTCCGTCCTGGACGGAGAAGCCAGGATGGAGACTCTGCCTCTCGACCCGATGACCGGCGCAACGACGTACTACGATGCCACGCCCGACCCGCTCACGCTGGTCGCCGACGCCAAGACCGCGGCGATGCGGCTCGAGACGGCGCCGACGGTCCGCGTCGTCCAGGTCGACCGCGTCAAGCAGTGGTTCTACGAATTCAATCTCTTCACGATCGAGGTGCCTATCGCGATATCCTCATGAGCTCATGCGCCTCTAGCTGCGCGTCGACGGCCTCGTCTGGCGCATCCGCACGACCACGCATCGCATGCTGCGCCTCCATCTGACGCTCCAGCGCGTGCTCCGCTTCTCGCAAATCTTTACGTTTCCGTCGCGCCTACTGGGCTACCGCAGCGCGGCTCAGAGCGCGTCGTCAATCCCGATCCTCGAGCGGTACCTCACGTCGCTCCTCGCCCACGAGAGCGTGCGCAACCACGACAAGATGCTCGAATTCCTCGAGCTCGGCGCCTTGCGCTTTAGCTCCGAGTACGCTGCGAGCTTACGACATTTCGCGTCTCATCGTGAGGCCGATATAGGTATGGCCACAGCATCATCGAAGGCTGGGTCAAGATGCGGTACGTGCCGTCGCGGAAGGGCACGCTCCATGGCCGGTCGAGCTTTGTGGGCTTTCACTTCACCAAGGACAACTTGATTCGCGTCGCGGAGATTCTTCTCGTGCTCTTCTTCTGCGTCGCCATCCCCGTGCTCTCGTTCAAGCTATGCGTGCACTTTACGCATGCCGGGTCGGTCGTCATGCTCGATGACGAGTACGTCGTCATCGCGTCGCTCTTCTCGGTGCTGCCGGGCATTTACTTTATCGCGATTTGCTACCAGTACCTCCTCCGCCACAAGCGCTGGATGGTCGTCAAGCCCACGTGCATCGCGTTCTTCGACGACATGAACGACACGGAGCCGCGCGAAGTCATCCTCTTCCAGCCCCACGTCGCGGTCACCAAGAGCTCGCTCCTCAAGCACGGCCTCCACTGGATGGTCGACGGCCTTCATATCGTGACGCCTGGTGCCCTCCTCGAGATCGACATGAAGAGCCACCCGAATTGGACCCACCTCGAGACGACGCTCGTGGATACGATGAACGCGTGCGAGTTTACCGACACGGACACGCACCGGTACACGTCGTTTGCGCCGGAGCGCCATGCCATGGGTATGTCATCGTGACAAAAAAGTGCAATGATGACGTGATCGTTTTTGGGATAGGCGCCGACATGATGAGCATGGCGCGGCACCTTGTCGATGGCGCCGAGACGTTTGCCAACATGGTGACGCACCTCCGTCTCGCCGAGAAGCAGGTGTTCATCACGGGGTGGTGGATCACGCCGAATTACCCGATGCTACGCGGCGACGAGCTCACCAAGCTCGACAAGTCGGTCCTCGAATTGTGGACGCCTTGTCTGATGGGATTTTGGATAGCGTGCTGCTCGATATTGCGGTGCGGGGCGTGCAAGTGTACATCCTTGTCTACAAGGAGCACCGGATGTTTCTGCCCAACGACTCGCTTTTTACAAAGGACCATTTGCATCAGCTCCACCCGCGCATCCACGTGCTGCGGCATCCGGACTTTGTGTTGCTGCCGCAGTACTGGTCGCACCACGAGAAGATCGTCGTAATCGACCAGCAGGTCGCGTTTGTGGGCGGCCTCGACATTTGCCTCGGCCGGTACATGCATTCTTGTCGTGGTTTGTGTACACTATGTCTTGACTAGATATGACAATCCTTCGCACCCACTTACCGACACGACACGCAACCCGCTCTTTGTCGGCAAGGACTACTCGAACCCGCGCCTCAAGGACTTTACCGACGTCATCAACGGCGAGACAGACCTCGTCGATCGGCAAACACAGCCCCGCATGCCGTGGCACGACGTGCATTGCCGGTACTTTCCGGATGGATGAAGAATTTGTCTTCTATTGTCTGTCCTAGCCTCGAGGGCCTCGCGGCCATGGATGTGGCCCGTCACTTCATCCATCGCTGGAACTTTACGCTGCAGAAAAAGTACATTGCGATGTTCAACCGCCGCCGCCCCAAGTACCGCCGCCCCGCGCTCCTCCCCAAGGTGCACGTACCGAGCAAGAAAAGCCCGCAGCACTCGGCGAGCCTCGACGACTGCGAGGCCGGGACCGTCGCGCGCTGGATGCCAACGGCCGAGCCGTTCGCGGCCGCATGCCACTGCCAGATCGTGCGCAGCATGAGTCCGTGGTCGGGCGGTATCAAGACGGAGCACAGCATCCAGAACGCGTACATTGCGGTCATTACAGCGGCGGCGCACTTTTTGTACATCGAGGTATTACATCCATCGTCGTCTCTCATGCTGACAAAGCTTAATGTTGTAGAACCAATTCTTTGTCTCGGGCTTTGAGAACGACATGAGCGTCTCGAACCGGATCCTCGAAGCGCTCTACCTGCGTATTGTGCGCGCGTTCGAGCACAAAGAGACCTTCCGCGTCGTCGTCGTGCTGCCGCTCATGCCGGCCTTTGAAGGCGCCGTGACGTCCAAGGACTCGAGCAGCCTCCGCGCCGTCATGCACTGGCAGGTACTACGACCCGCGCCCACTGGCTGGCGGCAAAGTCACGCGTACGACGTAGTATACGACCATCTGCCGTGGCGGCAACTCGCTCCTTGAGCGTCTTCGCGCGAAAATGCCGGATCCGCACAAGTACATTGCCTTCTTTGGCTTGCGGCAGCATGACGTGCTCGCGGGCAACGCGGTCACGGAGCAGATTTACATCCACAGCAAGCTCCTGATTGCCGACGACAAGGTCACGATCATGGGTATGTCACGCTGACGACTCGATGTATCCATCGATGACGTGATTCTTAGGCTCGGCCAACTTGAACGACCGCAGCATGTGCGGCGACCGTGACTCGGAGATTGCGGTGGTTCTCCACGACAGCGAAATCGAGGCCGGTGTTTTTGACGGAAAAACATTTGGTGTCGGCAAGTTTGCCCACTCGCTCCGCCGTCGCTTGTACGAAGAGCACGTTGGCACCGAGCTGCCAGACCCTGTCAGCGACGAGGCGTGGGCGACGCTGACGGCGGTCGCACACGGCAACACGCAGATCTACGAGCGCGTCTTCCGCTGCTTCCCCACGGACTCGTTCCGGTCGTACTTTGAGATGAACGTACCGGAGAACCATTTGTACGAGGACGTGACGGTCATTTACGAAAACCAGCGGTAGTCGGCTTGTCTCTCACTTATCCGTTCTCTCATGCACACGGGATTAGGTATGGCTGGAAGGAAGGGTGGCAACCCGCGGGGCTCCACGGCGGCGAAGTGGCCTCGTGGACGGACGAGGTCGGCGCGCCGTTTGAAGACTTTCAGCCCGACCCGTCGTCGTGGCAAGTGGACAAGACGCTCGGCGCCGGCGACCGCAACGGCTGGCAGTACGCGTTCACGTTCAAGAAGTTTTTGAGCAGCCCGGGGAAGGCCCGGGCCGACTCGCTCTGGTACCGGTACGTGCGCCGCCGCCGCTGGGTGCTCGTCGCCGCCCAAGAGCGCAAGCAGTTCCACCTCGGCCGTCAAGAATCGAGTACGACGGACCGCGACTTGCGCTCGATCTTTCGCCAGCCCTCGGCGCGCGTCATGTCCTTCTCGGAAGACGACATGCTCGGGCACACGCCGCAGCTCCGCGAACTGATGCAGCACGTGCCCCCCGAGGTCCACGAGCTCAAGAAGGTCCAGGGCCAGATCGTCGAGTTCCCGCTCCTCTTCCTCTGCGAGTGCGATTTGCGCCCGATGATTTTGCCCAAGAACCTCTTCATCTAAGTTGACGATGGGAGCGCCGACCAGTCTGGCAGCGTGCATAATGACATGTGTAATGTGTTTGCGTGTGCTATGGTGTCGATGCGGTGAGTTGCGCGCTGACCCAGCGTAAACTGCATTCGAATCCTGAAGGATCTGCCGTCGATGCAAGCTGCGGGCTATCTTATGCACGGCAGGGATAGCGAGGGAAGTCATGTACGAGCTGCATTCTCGCCGCTGCCCAGTTGTACGCAGCCGTAGCTCGTCGTACTTATCTCGAAAAGGGACCCGGAAGGACCGTGCTACGTGGCCAAGGGCCGCCGACAAAAGAGTAAGAAATGAGATAGGACCGAGCGACTGAGTGAAGAAGATCGCGGTTGGTCGTTGCTACCAAGGCCGAGCAACAGATGGATACCACTAAGCATCCGCCTTGGCGTCGACTCTGACCACCGAATTGGATTCTGTCCAGGACAAGGGTACACACATGAGCGACTTCAATCAAGTCGCATAAGCCGCAAGGCTGCATTGACCTTATTTTCCACTGACACTCCACTGACTAACGGGCTACTAGTACACTGGACGTAGGAATTACTGTATACGGCCGTGTGGCGTGTGTTCATTTTGGATTGGTGGTACCGGCATGAACAAAAGGACCTCATGATCACACCTCAACGAGAGCTCCACTTTGCCGTTCCAGTCAGCAACGTACCAGCCTTTCTACATCTTGAAAACAAAAGGTATAAGACAACAACGACCCACTCACATCCACTTGCATAGAGTTGGACACGGGGACGCTCCATCCTGTCCATTTGGCGCAAAAACCCCGCCTCGTTTGATGTGGACGTTGAGAAAGTAGCATTACACCCTGTTACATCCGGTCGAATGACGCCGCCTGGAGTGTCCGCTAATCTTCATGCACAACTGTACGCGGGCTGAATAACCACATCCTATGCCATCGCCATGCTCTCGATACGGCAATAAACATGTTAACTCAAGGGAGACCATCCTCCGAGTCGATCCACAACACCCGGAACGGCGGCCTCCATGGCACCAATGGAATCAAGATCGTCATTTTGATTTGAGACACGTCGCCCACGTAGCAGATGGATGCCGACGTCCACGTCTCGTACTTCAATCGCGCTCACTTTGCAATTGACACCATGCGTAATAGCATCACGCTTCTCGCTGTTGCTGCGTCGATCGCGCTCGCCGCCGAGCCCATCAAGATCAACGGTTGGTATGCATGCAACGCCAAGACGTTTGCAACGCCCGCCCCCGAGACGTCGGCGACCGCCGAGCTCCCAGCGTTTCGCACGTCGGCTTTCTCGGCCGACACCAACGTCCTTCGATCTATGCTCCGCCCCATCGATGCGAGCTCAATTCAGAGCCTCGCTCTCTCAAGCAGCACTGTGTCGTCCGCGTCCACCGAGTGCGCCGAGTTCACTCTCCCGCTCTGCTACGAGAGTCTTTGCAGTGCCGCCGGTTCGATTCCCGTCTTTGTCAAGCGCATGCGCGCCACGAAGCGATCGTTGTCTACCAAGGCGCTTTGGTTTCTCCAAGGCGGTCCCGGCGCGTCCTCTGTCGCGAGTACAGTCTCTTCTTTGGATCTGTGTGTGGTTTATCTAACGAAACTGGGATCTTAGTGGAGTCGCTCATGACGCTCCTCTACTCGATGCTCAACGGCGCTGTCGACGTGTACACGATGGACCACCGAGGCACGGGTCGCAGCTACAAACTCACGTGTTCAGCGTCCCAGATCGAGACGTCGGGCAGTCCCACGAAAGGCCAAGTGCTCAACAGCGTGCTCTCAACGTGCATCAAG